AATTTATACTATATAGCAGACAGTCAGCCTACAGTGGTATTGAGCAGAGAAAAATTAGATTCACTTGTATGTGGATTATCACATTAGACTTCACAGACATATGCTGATTAGGTAGTGTTTCACATCCATTTGTGCTTGCTTTTGCATAGGAACAAGTAAATGGGTAGCCGGCAGCAAAAATGAAGCCAATTATGTGTTATTTCTATGCATATTTATATCATACATTATTTTTTTCTGATTATCAGTAATGAGAGGCTGAACAATCAGAGTAATAAAGATTGGCTACTACAAAATATTTGATGAAAATACAAGGGAATTCATCAGTTTCAAACGAGATGCCAGTTGCATGAAAATGAAAGCAGCAGTAATTCCCACCAGAAAATAACAGCTCTCACCTCCTCCTTTTTTCTGCAGTATAATCATTGCCACTTATTCCTTTTTGCTACGCACTGTAGATAAGGAGAGAGCTCCATTACCCTGCGTTGTTTAAATTCATAAAGAAATGCGTCTTTGCACAATGAATCGTTCCACTCACACAGCAGGGCACGGAGGAAATCTCCCCCTGTACCCTGCCTGGGGAGCCCACTCCGCTCTTCCCCTCTCCCAGAGAAGGCAGCAGCTCAGGCCCAAGGAGCGAGGCCAATCCAAGACCAGAGCAGCCCTAAAGGCAGCAGCATGTGGGGTACAGCCCGCACCCCACAGGAATCCCCTGCCCAAAGGAATCCCCCACTCAGTCCATGGTGCAGCAACAGCGAGGCAAAGCACCTCTGTACCTGGAACACCCCACACTGTTCTCCCTGTCAGCAGCAGCATCCCGTGCAGCCCCCCACATCCTGACACAGCACAGGGAGCCTGCCCACCCCTGGGGTGCTTGCAGCAAGGGGAGCAGAGGAACACCAGGGGAGCCTGGCACTGCAATCTGGATCCAGCTTAGGTGTGCTGGCTATGGTAAAGTTGCCCTTTCCACGTACAGATCATAAAGTGCCATGTATCAGTGAGGAATAAGCCTGTGAAAGCCCTGGGGATGTGGCTGTACCCAGGTCACCCTCACATCTTGGAGGAATTTGAAAGAGGCAGGAGAAAAGACATCCTTCAGCTGCATGTTTTGGGGAAGGAAGAGCCACTTGAAGCCATCTTTAAGACACTGAGTCAAATGGAGCCTGTGATGGGAGCTCTAGGGTGGAAGCTGTAAGGACAGCAAGCGTTGTGAAGGCACCCTGGTGGACTTTCCCTTTCCTACTCCTGGATTTTGCCTTTCATCTTCAAAAATATGATTAGAGGATTCTCTACTTCCCTCAGCAATCTGCTGTATAGCAGATCTCTAACACATGCATAGCCACTTGAATGTGTCCCTGAGATAAAATATTTATAGCCCATATGCAGGCCATCTGTGTGTGCACATGCATTTCTAACAAAGAAATCACAAGCAGAGATAAGACAGCCTTAGGTAAGAGCATCTGCAGCTCACACTGGCCCTGGGAAAAAGCCACCTAGAGATCTTACAACTGCACATCTTATAGGTAATAAATACACCACCAGAAATTACAGACCTCATTAAAATTTACATTGCCTTGGGGAACTCCCAAGAATTTGGTTCTGGGTCTTTGCACAGCTAACAAGACCTGGCACAAGTTTCCTAACTGCACATAGATCTAGATTATTGCTCAGGAATAATCTGTTTTTCCCAGTCTGCCTTGGTTCCTTGATGCTCTTTCTTCACAAACTACATCACCCTTGAAAGCATTCTACACTGGGAGAAGTCTCCCATTTTAAATATATCTTATTTATACAGAATGTGAGTAATTAAAGCAGAAGTGGAACCCTTTAGATAAACACAAGCCAAAAACTGTTGCTATAAACATGCTTGTGGGCTTTCTGCCTGCTGGTCTCTTGAGCCAAGCTGCTTTATTTCTACACTGTGACTCTTTTTTTTCTCCAAAAGATGTACACAAAAGATGATGCACATCCAACAGTCTTTGCAGGATGAACTGTGGATCCCTATGGTATCAGTGATCCTTGGAAAGGGGCAGACTTTGCTGAAATTCTTTCTGAAATGGAGAAATCCTTCCCGTCTTTGTCTGCACTTTTGGAAAGTCCAAATTAAACAGTTTTCCCCTTTTCCCTATTTCTTAATGCTGGATTCGTTATGTCAGAAATCTGCATTTTTATTCACTTGGTTGTTTGAATGCCCTGTACCCCATAAAGAGATTCTCACTGCCTACCCGAAGTAGTAATGCACATTAAATGTAACAGATCACCTTAAAGTGCTTGTTCCTTCATTGAGTGTAATACACATTAAACACTCCACTTAGGATTAATGTCAATTTGTTGTCTATCTTTTATGCCAAATAATGTAGTTCAAAGCTTAAGCATTGTACAGAACCTGTTTTGTACTGAGGTAAGAGATATGTAGCTTGAAGATACACAGCTAGTGTAAACCAAGTGAACATGCAAAGGCATGGATGAGCAAACCTGGTATGAATTTTAAAGCTATCTCACTGAATTGTTTAAAATATCCATGAAAATATTTTAGGCAATTAAGATATCTCAATGTTTTTGAAAATCTTTGAAAATATTTACAAATGATTGTGCTCACCTTGTTTTCCCTAGCTTCCTGTATGCTTTATGTGAACTTATAAGGTAAGTGAATGGGCTAAAACCTTATCCCGAGCAGAAAGAAAACACAGACCTGAAAGGAACACAAGAGCCTGTGAACCAGGTTGTCCCATTTCTCATCCTTCCCAATGATAATCAAGACAACCTTGTAGACAGATGGATTTTTAACAGGGACAAATCAGGTCAGATGAGAGAGGATCTAGGAAGTAGTGTAGTCTTCATTTAAAGTCCAACCACTAAATCAAAAGGGCATTCTACAAGGTTAGAATCCAATTTCAGAGATGATCTGGAGCCAGTCTAAGTCAAAGGAGCCAGGTAGTTGCTTGCATAAAGATCTTACCAAGAGCTGTCTGAAAGTGATGTAGAGGTTACACGAAAGCAGGGTGCCCATATCTGCAAGAATTAAATCTATAAAGCATTTTCTTGCCTTAGAAATTTTAACCTTTGTGCTAATGATACAAGTAGTGATCAAATGTAAACTTTGCAAAATCTTGCTAATGTACAATTACAAACTAATGAGTGTCTTAGATGGTCCACAGATGCAGCTTTGGGATGAAAGTCCAATGCAAGCCTGTTTACTTCAGCTACTAATAGTTTATACAGAGAGCTACCTCCACAGCTGAAGGTGCAGAAAGATTTCTGTCTTACTGTCCTAAACATTGTTTTTGTTAGCAATTGGTCTTGTTTATTTCCAACCCACAGTTGGTTTTGCTCACTTATTTTGAGGAATTTGTAGGAAAATCTCTTCAACCATTTTTCAGTTAGAAGAAACAACTATTGCCACATACTTTCCCCCACACAAATACCTCGTAAACAGCTGGAACTTTTAAGCACTGATCTTGGCCAGCCAATAGCTTTGTCAGGGATGTTTGGAGATATTAGACATGGCTACAGTGAGTCAGTGTTGCATTGCCCAAGCATTAAAAATATCACAAGATTGCATTCAGTCATTACATTGTTTGTTTTTTGGTTACTAAAAAATTAGGATGCACACATTCAAGATTTCCTCTATAGCTGTGACGCCTAGAATCAGGGAAGAGACTAGATGTTCATATACAAATACTGTGGTTCAACTGTTAGGGCTATATGACAAAACCTCAGACATTCAACATATGACAAATCATGAGCTAGCAGTGTAGATGCAATGCAGTTGGTGGAAGAAAAAGTTAAATAGATGAACTTTAGAGTGCTGTTCACTCCACATATCCAGAAATTAGACCGTATTTAGCAGTTTAGTAAATAATATGTCACACCCACTCTGCCACTTAGTTCATACTTAAAGCCTATGAAAGACAGAAGAGTTGCAGGAAACCCTCCTGAAGGAAAGAGAGTAATCTAGGATACCTAGCTAGGACTAGGACACTTGGCAGCACCAAAAGCATTCCTCAGGTAGCAAGGGAAAAACACTGTAAGAATTATGCTGCCACACTTGCAGCATGGAAAGGCTTCCAGTACAAATGACATCTTTTCATAATCTTTTAGACAGTTTTCTTATTATCTGAAAGTGTTTTTTTCTTGCTATCTTTTGTGGATCATTTATTACTTGTTTTTTTGTTGTTGTTTGTTTACTCTTTTCCCTTCTAATTAATGATTGAGGAAGAAAATGCTCTCAGGGCTTAAAATTTCCATTTGCAATGATTGAGCTGGGATAGGGACTTCATCTTTGAAATTCATTAAATTTGAGAGGGACCAGTAGTAAAAATAAAGACAACAATGAACTGCAGGGAATGCTGAAGTTCTTTGCCAATTCACCTTGAATTTAAGGGATACTTTTGGTCAAAGTAGTTAGGGGAAAACCTTTGAAAACATCAAAATGCTTGTGTTATGTTTTCACCCTGATTTGCTTCATAAATGATTTTCTTCCCATCTGTTCCACTTTGGAAATAAGTATATATATACTGACTCAAAAACAATGCTTTAAGTCATTTTTTTTAATGCACAAGCTTCAATAACAAAAAGATTCAAGTCCAAGAGAACTGTTATAGAGAGATGCAAAATAAATTTTCTTGAGCTGGTGGGAATAAAACAAAAGACTATTTACTTTCACCTTACTTTCCTTTTGAACTTTGCAAAGGAAATTAAAAGATTTTTTCCCACCTTCTTTGAGTGGTGATATCAATACAGAAAACCATTACATCCTACCTTTCATACCTCTAATGACTCCAGTCAGATTTGTGCTCTCTTCTGGGAAGCACGCCCTTAAGACACCATGACTTAAGAGCACAAAGATTCCTGTTCTTTTCCAAAAAAAAGAGGCATTTAGCCTCCCAGCCCACCCAGGAGCACAGCTCTGAGGCCTCCCTTCCATCCCCAGGCTCAGGAAGAAGGCACAGCCTGTTAACACAGAGCTGGCCATCACAGGCAGCCCCTCAAAAGTCACTCACCTGCCAGACAGGGAAGGCGAGCTTGTGTTAGCATACATTGCGGTAGATGTGCTGAGGAAGAAAAGGGAGGCCACTAAGCTGTTTGTCTGAAGCAGGACTTCCACACTTGGTCAGTAAATATTTTCAGAGCAGGACTGTGAATATTTGGGGATTTTCTTGAGGTGCAGATTTCTGTGTTCCTGTCAGGCAATGCTGAGGGCCAGGAGCCTGCCCAGGCCAGGAGCAGGGATGGGATCAGCCCTAGGAGGGGAGCCAGGGCCAGGCCCAGCCCGGGTTGTGCCTCAGTGACAGGGCTGGGCCCAGCAGCTCTGCCCCAGGGCAGAGACCAGCACCCTACAGCAGCACTGGGGCAGGGACTGCGGGCCCCAGGTTAGAAAGGGACCTGTGAGGCTCATGGCAGCTGATCAGGGCTGCAAGAGCCTGGTAGCACCCCCAAGCCCTCACAGCACAGCCCTCAACAATTGCTCTGACCTACAGAGCAATTGAATTTTCAAAGCTGGGGAGTGTCGGTAGTTAACAGGGGGCTGGGAGCAGCCTGCTTGATTGGCAATAATTGCAGCACATTAAACCCATACGCTTCCCCCTTCCCCCCTTTTGCTTTTCTTTTCTAACATTCTTGTTTCTGAAACACAGCACTCCTGTAGGTGACAGAGATGGGCACTGACTGGGAATCTAAAAATGAAGTGCATTATGTCTGAACGTCTGTTACTCCATTTATGTGTAAGCTGTGGGATAGGCAGGTTTTCAGTGTACGAAATTGTAGCAGCCTTTCCCTTTCCTAAAATACTGAAAAATACTGCTTTGCTCTCTCACTTTTTGTTAGTGAGACTGTTGTACTGCATTTGTTCTCTAAGTTTTAATTTGCTTGTAGTCCTGCTTGCTGTGCCTTTTTTTTTTTTTTTCTTTAAAACAGTTTCATATGTATACAACACCCCATGCAGGACAGTTTTCTCTCAAAAAGCCTTACAACCATCAGACCTTTAATTAAGATAATAGAGAATATGACAAGTTCATGTGTGAAGGTCTATAGTCCTGACTGTTTCTAGGTACTTAACCTTCTCTACTGGACAAACTCTACTTAAGTAAGGAAGAGGTTAACAAGCTTGTTAAAAGGCTAATTATCCTCAGTCAATTATACCTGAAGCAAGTGGCAGTGTTGTCTCCTTTTGGATTGCCAGCAGAGGACAAGGCTTAGCTTAAAAGGGAGTAGTAGGAAAGCTGACTGCTGTTTTGTGGTAAGAGTTACTGCCTGAATCCAAGAAAAATTGTTATGCCATCCCTGTAATAAGGTAAGCCAAAGTGAAAGCTGTGGATTTGGCTAGCTGTAATTAGCTGTGGCTTATTTTAAGAGGTATGGAATGGCCTTCAGACAAGAAAGTGCTGTAGGCTTGCAAGGATGGACTAGAAGAACTCCTTCAGCAGCTGTACTATAATGAAGCTGACTTTTTTTCTGCCTTTCTCAGAGGAGAAAAGTTTTTTTTGTTTGTTTGTTTGTTTTTTAAAAAAAAAAAGCAAGAGAAGAGAGTGGTATAACAATACTGACTCTCGTGTAGTGTGGTTGGGGGGAGGTTACTGTGGACAGTTTCATGTCTGAAGATTGAAGTTCAAAAAATAAAGTGAGGTGGAAAATAGAGGTGTGTTAAATCACTTTACTTACATGTATATGAAACAGTGGTGTTAAGTTTAAGCTAAATTGTCTTGAGTGTCTGTCTCTAGGGTGTACAGAAACCAGAGGAACATAAATACTGCCTGTCCTGTGGTGACTATATCAAGGCCCTGAGTGCACAAGGAGGCTGTTAATGGCCCGTATCAGCTTCACCTCTGACCTCCATCCCCACATCCCCTCCCAGGGCCCCAGAAACCCTATTCAAGGTCAACCCTGGACTTCCCAATTCCCAAACCAATGTTTTAGATGTGTGTTTCTAGCCCTACCTCTTGGCTAGACCTTGGATTTGTGCTGGAGGTAACTGCTCTCTTGGCAAGGCTCCTTGTATGTGTGCCTGTTGTTTGTCTCTAGTCCTGTTTTTGGCAATGTTGCTCAGATGGACTTAGCACCTGTCCTGTAGCCTTCCTTCAGGCCTTTCTCTTGGCCTGTTTTCTTTTTTTGTTGCTGATTCTGCTTTAGGCAGTAGCTGACCCTATTGTTTCCTAACAAAGCAGTGGAGATGTGTTCTTTCTAAATGTCTTCAGGGGCTTGACAAAGGTGATCTTTTAATACTTTGAAGTCATGTTGGCTTTATAGTATCCTTCATAGCAATGTGCACTTAATGTTGTGGCTATTCCTTGTACAAAGCAGCTCTAAGACACTTTGTTTTTTTCTTTTGTGGAGACTAGAGGAAGCTGTTCTTATACATGTATGCTGCTCATCTCTGCTTGGATTCCTCTTTTTCATTCCTTCTACATTACACGAGACAGCAGGTAGGAATATGCAGCCAGATAATAGTAACTTATTACTGATCTGTCGCATTTGCTGGAAAGTCTTTCCAGCTAGCACTATAAATTGAGCATTTCTGTCTTTTCCTTGCTTTTAGTGGGATGAGAATAGCACTGAAGGGAGGCAATGCCATATCTAAATTTCTTAGTAGTGTGTAGTGAAAGATAACATATGTAGAAGTATTTTCCTTTTACTACATAAGATTTGATTATGGCTATGTGACAATTAATGGTGTAAGTTGTTACATTCTTTTTTCCCCAAAGTGAGTCTCCATATCTTCTCTGTCTCAGCTCATAGTGTAGAATTGAGTTTTCAGTTGAGAATTGATTATGGTTGTGATTCTTATTCCTCTAAGTCTGGGAATATACAGAAGAAATGATGCTTCTCCTTATTCTTGCTTTCTGTACCTGCTGCTTCTCTGAGGTAAAATAGGTTGGGAGATTCAATTACCTGTTAACCTTTCTAGAATTATAAACCTGATGAAATCTTATTCTGATATTTTCCCAGATATTCCAGGGTATTGTTTATAAACGAACAGGGATGGAGGGCTAGGAGTCTCCTAGGTATGAGGAAAAGGAATCCTGTGCTAAATTCAGTAATTTTGGGGTTACTCATAATGCAGTAGTATTGTAGGGCAGAGGAATGTATGTATGTTATATCACAGCAAGGTGTATTTTGAGGAACTAATTTATCATTCTTCCACTCAAAGAAATGCTCCTTTTCTACAACAGAAGAAGAAAATTAAAAATAGATGCTAGCTTTCACTAGGAGAAAAAATCATGTTTCTGGCAGTAGAAGCTTAGACCTTTCAGTCCTGACTGCTTGCCTCTCTATCAAAACCATGTGAAGAAGCATCTGGAGTCAGAATCTGGTACCAAGTCTGCATGTGTTGTACAAGATACGTGGAGGTATTTATGCCTTTCTCCCAGCCTGTATAGGTGTGCAGTGTAAATCCAGCTGTCCTGTACATAGTCAATAACTTTGCTGCAACTGGCTGTGGTGAATCCTGTTTTACCTAGGTTGATGGTTCTACTGGTGTTGGCACATGTGAAATGAAGTACAATGTGTTGTGCAGTAGTGCATGAGAATGTGACTCAGTGGGTATTTGTTGTCCTCTAAAGCCATAGCAGTACTAATTGTTATATGCTAATATTGCTAACCATAGCAATACCAATAATGAATTATTTTAAAGAACAACCTTCCCCAGCCTGTTTGGCCATCCTTATGCTGACCTTAAGTCTTAAATACAGTGGATTAATCAGTCCTGCAGGTAAAGAGACCACTTTTCCTTATGGATGAATTATTTTAACAACCTGCGAATTTACAGTTGGTTTCCAAGTATAATAGTCTGTTAGCTTTCAGCCATGCCATTTGTTTGGATATGAGCAACTCTAGCTTTATGTTAAAGCTCAGTTAAGCACCTCGCCTTCTTTTGGGCATTCTGAAGAGTTTGTGGTGATAGCAGACTATATACTCTCTCTTGTTAGTACATCATTTAATATGTTCAGGTTAGCACACTTGTGCATGTTCTGAGGGAATTATCACCTGAAGTCACCCTTCAAATAACAACTTTTCAGGGAAGCATTGTGCTGTTGGAAATGCTTGTAGCAGTAGCAGTGAATGCTTGTAAATCTGGATTTTTTTTCAGTTCCCTGATGGATGGAGTTAATTCTTTGTCAGACATCACTTAAATGTGTAAATGCACTAAAATAAGCTATAAATGGAACACTAATCAAAGGTTGTACAATAGCCTTCTGCAAAAGGCATAATTAATTACTTGTAATGGAGATATGTTGTCTAATCAGGAGGGGAAAACTGAGCCTTGAGCCTTAGAAGCAGAAGCTTCCAATCTAATTATTCTGTTTGTATTTAGAGATGGAAGGGGAGTCTAGCACTTATAACCAGTCACGCTTTGAATGTGAAAACATGAGTATGGCTGTTTTTTTGCAAATGCAGATTGCCTCTGGAAGGGACTGACTTTTGTTAATGAAAACACAGCTCTAAAGCCCACAAAGGCAGAACATTCCCTCCCTAGGCTGTTTTGTAGTTATTTAACAATTTGTTTTTGTTCATTGAATGTGAGATAACCCAACAACAAAGCTGAACAGTTAATGTCTATAAGTCACTCTATTGCTTGTAGAACTAGAATTGAATCTGACTGCTTGTCAGCATCTCTGGAAGCTGGTAGCATAGGCCCTTAAGTATTGTAAGCAAAACTCTGAAGAGTCTGCAGAGCGAGCATCTGAGTTCCTTTCCATCCCTTCCTAGGGAGTTCTTGCTGTCCTGAGCCCTGGACTGCATGGGTCTGGTGGTGATGTGTACCACAGTGTGTAGTCACAGAGAAATTCAGAGAAGGAAAATCAAATGCTGTGTATTGCCTGCCTGGGTTCACTTTTCTAGTCTGTTTATCTGACAGAAGTAGGGAGGATTGTCTGCTTTGCTGTAGATGCAGTGGGGAAACATGCTGAGGATGTGCTTTCCCCAGAGCATAAATAGTCTCCTTTCTGGTTCTTCTACTAGATCTAAACCAGTAGTGCCACAGCAGTTGCCAGTCAGTTTTTCACATTCATGTTGTGATGAGTCTCTAGCTCTGAATGATGTTTGTTTTCATTTGAGAGTGATACTCACTGCAGTGAGGATTACTGCTGCGAGTAATAAGCACCGAAAACAGTAAAAGCAATTTCAGGGGAGGGTGGGATCCTCATACTACTTGTATAACACTAAAAGGAAAGATAAAGGACATGTAAAATGCTCTGCCTGGTAGCATACTACGTAAGTGTTAAATGACTGTGTGTGCAAGGTGACAGACTGCAGCATCTGTGCTGTAAATGCACTGAAATTAAATGTTCTCTTCCATTATTACAGTAACTCAGACTGCAAAGAGTAAAATGACTCTTCCTAGCTGTGTAGGGTTCTGTAAACAGACATCACCAAAACTTCAATTGTTCGATTACCTTGGGTATTGAACACTAATACAGCACAGGCAAGTAGCAATATGCCTCAATGTGGACTGGCTTGGGATATTCA